AAAGGTCTAGAAAATATGACCTATGAGGGAAGATTGAAAAACTTGGCTTTGCTTAGTCTGGACAAGAGAAGACTGAGGTGGGGGAACATATGATAACAGTTTTCAAGGACATAAAAGGTTGTTACAAGGAGGAGGAAGTAAATTGTTCTCCTTAACCTCTGAGGATAGGACAGGAAGCAATGGGCTTAAATTGCAGCAAGGGCAGTTTAGGTTGGAGATTAGGAAAAACTTCCTAACTGTGAGTGGTTAAGCACTGGAATAAATTGCCTAAGGAGGTTGTGGAATCTCCATCATTGGGGATTTAAGAGCATGTTAGACAAACACCTGTTATGGATGGTCTGGATAATACTTAGTCCTGCCATGAGTGCAGGGGACTGGACTAGATGACCTCCTGAGGTGCCTTACAGTTCTGTGATTCTGTGAGAGGCTTGGGGAGCCTTCATGTAGTTTAGCTGGGTGTGGGTCTCCACATGCTGATGACTAAGTGATCACAGTCCCTGGAGGGGTTTGCTGCTGCTCACTGGCATAGCTCTATGAGAGAGACGGCCCAGGCTGGAGAGTCAAGGTGGGACAGCAGTCCCAGAGTTCCAGGACCTTTATCAACCAAATTCGTCATCCAAAATATTATATCAAGTTTGTTTGTCTGGGATTAAAGTCAGACTAACCAGCTGAGAGTTTTCCAAGTCAACCCATTTACCGTTTTAAATACTGGCACAACATTAGCTTTCCCCCCATGTCCTCTGGAACTTCCCCATTGTACCAGGATTTATTAAAAACAATACAGTTCAGCAAGCTCCTCAGCCAATTCTTTTAATACTCTTGGGTGCAAGTTATCCAGTCCTGCCGGTTAAAGAAGTGCTTCCCTGTAACATTGCTAGTGTACATCCTGCCTAGTTACTGATCGAATAGAAAGTATTTAATCAGCACTGTAAGATAGGAATACATCGTCCTGCTCGTTGTTCTGCAGAGTGCTGTGCTCGTTAGCAGTACTGCTTAATAATAAATAATACTAATTAGGGGGAGGTAATATAGTCTAATGCATAGGTAGGACCAGCACTGGGGTGGGCTTTCAGGGGTTGTAGCCACACCCATAGCAGGTGCTGCTCTCCAGCTGCCCAGCTCTGAAGGCAGAGTGGAGAGAGCAGTGACTGCTGGCCAGGCGCCCAGCTCCAGCAGCAGCACAGAAATAAGCCTGAGAGAGGGACCGGGGGGGCCTGACAGCAAGCCCCTGGCCATGTCCTCGCTCGCCAGGGCGCACTGCCCAGGGCAGGTGGAGGGTTCAGGGCTCCCCTCAGCAGACCAGACTGACCTGCTCCAGTCCAGGATCCTGGGCCCCAGCCCCACAGTCACTGCTCCCCAAGGACTCTGCTGGCCCTGGAGTCAGATCCCCCACCTGGGCAGCTCTTACTGGCTGCAAACAGCCAGCGCCCCACACTGCCCGATTCCTGCTTCCAACCTGGCCAGTGGGGCTCTACGGGTGGTTGAGGACGCTAGCTGCAATGGGAATAAATAATAATGTGAATTGTCCTTTCCTTCCCTCTCAGATTTTTTCCTCACCTCACCTCACTTCCTTTTTCTCTGTCTATTTTACTTCCCATTTCCTTAGACCCCTACATCTTTCTATCCCTCTCCCCTGCTTTGCACACACTCTCTCTCTTTCCCTCAGTCTTCTCCCCCCTACACCTTCCTTTTGTCTCATGTCTCCCATCTCTAGCTCCCTTCTTTGAACCCTCCCCCCAA